AAAAAAAAAAAAAAAAAAAAGCCTCTACAGTATTTCGTATACATTTCTGCACATGGAAATGAATTACTTTTAAGGACCATTAATGAAAAAAAATTAAGGACCTATCAGCAAATGGGGGCAAAATAAATTCAATCGACTTATGTCTGAATTCCGTTTTTGTAATAACTAAGAATAAAATTGATCCGTCGGTAATCCGGACTCATCGGGACTTTGGTGATTCCGGATTATAGATCATCAATTTAAATCTGGATGGCATGCAGAAATTATACAATTAAAAATATGAAACCGTAATTTATGAAATAAAGAGCAATTATGATCTAATGAGTATCAAATTTTACCAAAAAAAAGCTTATTATTTATTTGTTTACTTTATTAAACATTTCTTTCAAAGCGCGCATGCGCATTCTTAACGCACATGTGTAAAGCATACAAAAAAAAAAAAAAAAAGTTTGTGGCTTTGAGGTCTGGATTATAGATCATTCCGGATTATGGACTTTGTACTGTTGTAAGATTCTCGCTAGTGTAATTCTTCATTACTGAAGAAAGTGACGAATCTTAAGAACTACTTAGCAAATAATCGCTTAAGTTCGTGTAACAAGAAGTAAGGGTAACTAACCTTTTATTATTTCAATAAGATTTAACAAAACTCCATCTTGGAGTGTACAATAAAAGCCGACACTTGGGCTTGAACTTAAGAGACTAAGAAATAAACTAAAACTAAGATTAACTAAAGAAATATAGCCGAAGCTATCAAGAATTTAATCGAGTTGACCCCTTAACTCTATTTGAGTACAAAGCTTATCAAGTGCCTGAGTATGGCCGAGTGTAATAACAGTTTTGAGAGAGAGAGTAGCCAAAAGGCAGACGTGCGCAAATTAGAAACTCTGATTCTCTCTAACTCTGCAAGTAGACTTCGCGGTTTAAATAGCGCTCCTTCTCATTAAGTATTCAGAATGATTCCAAAGCTACATTCTGGCTGGAAGTAGTAAGTTGAAGTTAAGAATTTGACAGGAAAGGAACTTAAAATTTAACTGTTAATACAATTAACATAATCCTTACACTGTATAAAACAAATTTAAGAATAAAATCCACTTTATAAAATTTATCAGGTAGCATTAAATATTTTACATGTATAATAGTTGGACATAGTTTGAAGGAAGATTAGGGACATTTTATTTACGTTTTACTAACAGTTAGCTTTATGTTGATTTTTTTCTTTTGTCTCATTTTGCCATGGTACTTAGTCTACACATTTAGCAAATAGCAGGTAGACTTTATGTCAAATGGCATAGGTTAAAATGAGAAATGAAATCGTAATCAGCATGATTCGTAACAGAAGATTGGCTGTTGCCAGTGCTGCTGCTTGCCTAGATCTCTTGATCAGAACAAACCTGAAAGCCTGATGTAGTTTTAAGGTTATCAAGTTTTGAAAGTTAGTTGTGCTCCATCTGTTTGACGCAGTTAGTGTTATTAGCTTCATGTAGAGTTCCTGGCACTGTAACCTAATTAATATATTTTAAGGTTTCAATAAGCCACTAATACACCAGAGGTGATAAATTGTTTTGTATTATCTTAAGTCTCACTAGATGCAAAGAATAATTTTTACACTTTTGTGATGTATCTTGTGATCACAGTAAGGATTAATGAAAGGCAATAACTTGCTTTAATATGCAGAGATAACTTTTAAAGGTGAGTGGTTAGTTACAAATAATTAAATTAAGTAGTTAAATACCCTCAATTGTTATAGATTTACATGACCACTATTAATTTAATTTTTTTTAAATATTTGTTAAAAGGACACTATTAAAATCACAATCTAATAACATTTCACAGTTTAAAATGCATATAATTTTAAATTGTCAGTTTTACATCAATGTCATAACATCGATTCTTAAGCGTTATTAGGGTAATTCCCATTAAAAGCTACAAAACATTTATCTTTTGTGTAACAGCAACACATAACAAAATATGTATGCATCTTTTTAATTTGAAGCCTTCCCAGACATTTTGGCTTAATCTATATAAATTTTCTTCTCTTTAAACATCTTTCTTAACAATTAAAAATCTGTTTCAATATACAAACCAATGTTTCCACTAGTTTCTGTGTGCTTTACCTCCTAATTTGCCAGTCTCTTAACAGTGTACGTAACAAGGTTTTACTTGATCTGGTAAAAGTTAAATAGTCCAAAACCTCTTATAGACATGAAGCAAATTATCGCTGTCTGAAAGTAACTACATAAAGTCACATAAAGGTTTAAATAAACCTTTTATTTAAAAAGAACTTAGAACATACAGGTACGTTCCTACATTGACAAAATCAACTACAGCTTGTAGTGATGCAATTAAACAGGAACAGTCAAATTAAAACTAAAAATGTGGACTAGTAGTTCACTTAAGACTACACAATTTAATTTTAATCTAAGCTGACTCGGTAACTCTATTATCGTAACAAAATTCAAATGTTAGCTGGAATTATATGCAAAGATGAATAATTACAAATTATCAGAGCTGGCAGAAACTAATGCAACATCCAAGTGGAGGGCAAAAGCACTGTCTTTCAGTCCTAAAACCTCTGTTTAAAAACTGTCTGATTTGCATTATTGTGAGGAATTGGAAAGGAGAACTTATAATAAAGGCTAAAATTATAAACAAATGGTTAATTTGCATAATAATTAGGGCTGGTTTCAGGGCCAATGAAGCAGAATTTTTAGAATTTAGTGACACGCCGAGCAACAAAATCTAGAAATGGTAAAACTTTTAGAATTTAGGACAAGGCAGTGGGAGCAGAATTCAGGATCCACAGAGATTGCATGAGGTGGGAAAATGGCTTGTGTCAGCTCTGTGTATGATCCATTGAAACATATAAGGTGAATCTTTTAACTTGTCAGTTTTCAATTTCTTTATTAATAGAAAAATTCTTTTTTATAAATGCCTGTCCATGCAAAAAGATTAGAAACATTTTTGATGTTTTCCATACTTATGTCTAGTAAAAAGTTGAGAAAATAAAGAGAAGATAAACATGTTAAGAAAAAGACTTCTAGTACCAGAATTGCAAACATTGTTTTCATTGTCCTTCCAAAAATTCCCAAAAATGTAAGAAATTCTTCACAAACTTTCTGTTAAATACATCCATTATGTGTTAATACAATGAAGACATTTTCATTTTGTTAATTTTTTTCTGGAGCCTTCTAGAATTGTCAGTCTGTAAATCTTAACTTCAAATCCTTCTAAACTTTCCAAGTTGCAACGTGTAAAATACTAAAGAAAAATTAGCCCTACCAATTCTGCAAGAGAAAAAAGGCTAGAAATATTTTGGAAAATAAATAAATAAATCAGCGGAAAAAGTATAAAACTAATTTTATATAGAAAACTGTTACATATTCTGAAACAATTACATGACAAAAAATTCTTACCATGAAAAATTTTAAAGGAAGAAATTTTTAATTACTTATATAGCTATTTTGCTCTTGCTATGAATTGTTTTGTAAACTGTGCTTTATAGCATTTATTACCTTGTTTATTTTTCAGATTCAAAATATTATATAATAATTCACGAAAGTGGAAAGTAATGCCACTTTATAATATAACAGCAAAAGAAAATTAAAATGTTTTATTTAGTGTTTATTCCTTAAATGTAATTTAAATATATTACCATTATTTTAGTTAAATTTATCAATGTTATAATGTTTCAAAAAAAAATCGTCAAAAAATTCTCAGATCACCAAATTAAAAATTTTCTTTGGAAATTAATCTTAAAATTGCCAAATTTAGAGACGTTTAATAAAAGAATTCACATCCCCCAAAGCAGAAAGTTGTTTAAATGCTCTTCATTAGGGGGGGAAAAATTAAATAATTTTGAAATGCTTATGTTTGACTCCTTGCTCAGAAACTCCAGTATTACATTAGGAACAAATTATAATCCATTCAAAAGATAATCATATTTGTCAGTGGATTGTCAAAAATATTCCTCCATAGTGGTAATTTATACTCAAAACAGCAGTCGTAAAAACAAGACAAATTTCATGTGATTTCAAGTTAAGGACCTTCTGCCAATTCTGGCCGAAATTAAGGACTAAAAATCGATTCCCCCCCCCAAAAAAAAAAACCTAAGGACTTTTAAGGGTCATACGAACCCTGTAATAGAAAAATACACTTTGATCAGCAAAAAAAAAAAAAAAATTCAGCCTATGTTTTACAGATTTTTAAAGCAAAGATTCAGAAAGGATATAATAAGACATTTCTGCTGAGATATTTTACACAGTTAACTGCATTCAAATGATGTTCAGTTACAACACTGAACATACTTGAATGCAGTTCATACAAAAAACAACTGATACTCCCATGCCAACAGATGAGTTAGAACGAAAACAGAATAATGGTCTTCTGAATCATAAATACAAAATGTGAAGAAATAATAGAAATAGCATCTGTGACATTCTTGGAGGTCACTTTCACACATGCATAGTTAGAAAAAAGCAATAAAATAAAAGGGAAAAAAATGTAATGTAGCCTTCCCGTACAGTCACCCCATAATCAGCAGGGTGCAGTTACATTTTTTGCAGCATACTTCTAGCCTTTTCTCTGCACATTGGCTGGTTTTCATGAGCTGGGTACATTTAAAAGCTATCTTGAAATGTTTATGATATGGAGGTATGTGTATGGAAGTGTTAGATTTCATCCTCTGGGGATATTCTCAATCAAAATAGAATAATCTTTCATGTCTTTAGAATCTAAAGAATTATGGATCCCATTATCTATGAACACTGAAAAAAATTCTATTCCATGAACCATACAATATTTTCATTTGTAGCCCATTCTTGGAATGTTATAAAAAATAGAATTGTTTGGTTTAATATTATTATTAAAGGTGGGATACTCTTAATTCTAATTGCTTAAAATTATAAAATATGCTATAAATTTTAATATTCTGAAATTATCATTGTTTGATTAACTGCATGCTTTCTATTTATTTTTCACATAGTATTTATTTGTTTTAACAGATTCTCAAGATCAGAATGTCCTGAAAGGAAATCCTTGGTTACTTTGTGATGACAATAAGCACAAACTAGAAATCACATCTCTCTGCTCACAATCAATATGTGTTAATAGCTTGGATTTAAGTGGTTCTATTTTAATATGGGGATCAGATAATGAAGCACTGTATATATTGAATGATATAGCAGTATGAATCTGTAATTTTCTTCTTGTTTGTCTTCCAAATTGATTGTTGATTTTAATTCTCAGCGCAGTTTTGGTGCTGGTATAACTTGAAGAAATGTTTCACACACTGCCAGTTCTTAATCACATAATGAGCATCTGTATATTTTCCATTCAATCATTGAATGTTTCATTCCAAATTTTTCAATGTATTATATTGTATTTTAAACATCCTTTTGAAAAGTTTATGCGACAAATAAATAGCCATTTTTTTAAATGTGCCTTCTTTTGTACTTTATATCACTAGCATATAATATACATTACAAATTATCTGTTAATTTATTGGCATGCATTAGCAAAGATTTCGGGCATTTCTCACTAATTTTCAGCAACAACTGACAGTTTGACCACTAAATTTTTATCAGAGTCAATGTGATTTTCACAGATCTTGCTCTTAAAATGTGCCCTTGGGAGGGGGAATTGAATGTTTGAAGTGGTTAGCCAGTTAACTGTGGCGCCCTCATTTAAGAGAGCGCACCGTTTTGTGTCGCCAGAATTGAGCCATGACGAGTATATTCGTTAATCGCAGAGTAAGTTGTGCTGGTAAGATATTGCATGAAAAAGATGGGTTTATTTTATAAAATTGAAAATTTTATTACTAATATTTATTTGGTTAACATAAGCATATATTGCATACATATTAAACTAAAAACACAATAAATTAAATATTATACATATAAAAGTAAGCATTTAAATTCCTGCTGTGGAGTGATATTTAGCGATACAGGATACTATACACAATGGGACTTTGCAAATCGAACACCAGTAATATGATTCCTTTCTAATCTTACGTTTGTAGCAATGCGAACTACTTCACATAAGTTCCCCCCCCCCAATGCTCCGAGTATATAATTCGGAACACGTAATTGACTTGTATTAGGTCTAAATGGCCGAGTTTATGTTGATTTATTTCTTTCAATTCGATATGACGCAAAAGCGTCTTCAATAAATTTGAGCAAAAAGTTGATATGTGATAATGTTCCATTATTTTTTTTATATGATATGAATGCATTCAGACACATAATATCTAAGAAATGGAGAATATCTTTTTGTCGTACCTTTTGAGTCGTTTTCTTGCTGTGGAGTACGCTATCATAATTAATTGCTCATAACCACTCCACCCATTTTTTTTATTATAATCAATCACTAGCTCCGGTTTCTTTGTTATTATTTTACTTTTCTCTGTTTCTATTACGTTGCTTCCACTGCTTTATACGCATGACAAGTATACTCGTCAATACACAAAATCGTGCCGCTTCTCCACGACAAGTATACTCGTCAATCACAGTTAACTGGTTAAGCAACAAGTCCACTCTGATCCATCGAGGGCCGTAATTAGCATCAAGGTAAATTCTCGCACTAATGCTGATGTGAGCAATACTTTCATGTGCAAAAAGCTAGAACAACATTAGAAAGAAATTCAACAAGATATTTTGTAGAAAGATGCTCTATGTTCAGTCATTCAAGCAACTAAGCAAAATGTATAATCCTACTAGGTAGTTGCCAGGTCAAGCCTAATATTAAAGTAGAATCATTTCTATTAGACATGGAACTCATGCCATGCATATTATCATGTGCCTAAAAGTGATAGTAGTGAGTGTCAAATGTACCCAAACATGCAAATGTGACTTCAGTAAATAAAATGTGCAAAGGAAAGTCAGGATTTGCTGTAATATGCTTAAGTGCCTAAAGGCAAATTTTAAATGCAGGGTATAATGGTCTGGATCCAATGCCTACAGTCTTTGCAAATTATATGAATGCATTCTTCCTCATTTTAACCCGTCCATCTTGTTAGCTGGCTTACACCCAATCACTCTTACTTGTAACAGATTATACTCAAGTGCAGCTTCTTCCATTGCAAGTGTTTTAACTTCCACTGCCCACATCACACCTGCAAACATGAAACAATCCACTCTTGCATAAATGCTGGTAGATTTGCTGATTTGGCAGCAGTCTGCTTGGAAATTATTTTCTGTGTGTCCTTTGAGTAGTTGCTCGTCCATCATTTCAATGCTTCACACACACTTTCATTACAAAATCTACTTCATTCAGTCCCCTATACCTGCCTTTACATTTTTACTAAATATTTTAGAATCACCTTGCATATGCAGGTATAGTGATGTGACTGTTTATGAAAAAGAAAGAGAAAAAAATATATATATGGTGTATAACATTGAAATAAATTGCATAGTTCTTTTAGAAAAAAGATATTTTTGAATTGCAATCAACTTAATTGGTTGATGCTAAACAGAGTAGAATTTAATAGCAGAATGTTTGATGTATTATTGATGCTTATTTTTATGTCATTATGAATAGCAATATTTTTATATACCTCTAGCAGCTTCACTGCCAGCCTTCGTCTGGCTTTTAAATGTACCGGGAAAATGGCTGAAGGGAACACCAAATGTTAAATTTAAAAACTGCATAGAATTTTACTCTGCAGAACAACTTTATAAAAAAAAGTTATCATGTATAACAAAATTACAATGAAATAAGCAATATCCCTTAATACAAATATCAATTATCCTAATAAATAAATTAACTAACTTCCCTTTGCAAAATCGTAAGAACACAAATGGGATAAAGGAGGTTAAGAACTTTGTTTTCTAAAAAAATCACTCAAAACTTTTCAATATCTTAACAGTGAAATGAGCAATAAATAACATAAAAGAATGCAAAAAGCAAAAAATTCTGAAAAGCAAAGTATAATTAATGATATTTTATCTTATATATTCAAGAGGTTAGGTTATTTAATTACGGCAAAGCCTCGAGGGCTATCTGCCTAAGGGGGAGGGATGCCTTCGCGGAGGACTTTCTAAGGGAACTGGATCATATAGACGTTACACATGGGGAAAACCACAAAAAACTCATGCAGCCAGCCAGTTCGCGGGATTCGAACCTCAGACCGAACTACCAGTGTTTAGCGACTTTACCGCTCAGCCGCTGGTGGGCTATATTTTCAAGAGAAAAAAATTAAAATGAAATAAGCTATATCCCTTAATACAAATATTAATTATTCTGATAAAAAATTAACCAACTTTCCATTGAAGGAAAAAAATCATGCAAAACTTTTCAATATCTTACAAACAGTGAAATAAGCAAAAGATAACATGAAAGCAACTCGTAAAATTCTGCGCAGAATTTTACTCTGCAGAACAAACTTTAACAAAAAAAATCAATAAAAATGTATTTATATATATATACATATAAATGACAATGAAATATGCCAATCTCTTAAAAACAGTTACATAAGAAATACGATGAAAAAATGTTGCCAAACCCAGATTTCTAAAAGAATGAAACTATTCAAAAAAAAATTTCATCAAAAATCTATCAACAACGATAAGACGGGAAAATTGTTGAGAAGTTTAACGTGTCCAAAAATCAAAGAGAAATAAACTGTACATTTTTAAAAATAAACTTTTTTAGAAAAAATCCCGTTGAAAAGGTGTTAAACTCCCTTTGTTAAATAAGTTTGTGTATAATCGATTTATTGAAACATGAAATTTATTTTAAGTTCGTAAAAGAGCTAAGTGCCTACGTTTCGTGACGATGTGAAAATGGAGTGTGTAGAGTAAAATCTATAGCCCATTATGTGTCAAAATGACGCAATTTCGTCACAAAACATAAAAAAAAGTCTATTTCGAATTTCGAAAAAATCGCTTTGAGGTTCACTGGCTCTTGTATAGGTGTGCGTATGTACCAAATTTCGTAGCCGTGGGTCTATTAGCTTACGCGCAGTGCGAACAAGACATACACACACAGACAGACTCTTTATTTTATTATATGTAGAGATGGGTATTGTTGATCTTGCATAATGACTTGTTGTAACGTTTTGATTTGTACCCCCACATTTGTCATGTAGATCCATAAAATTAATATTTCATAGATATTCTCTAAAGACAGAATGTAAGGTTCAAGAATTGCGAAGTAACCATTAGGCAAAGCCTGCTTAAAAAATGTGGAACGCTTCACGATTTTGCGTATGAAACTTGATAAACTTGAAAATAAGCTTGATAAAATGAATTTTAAAAGTTGGTTTATTGTCAAATGTAATGTCTAGATCAGGGATTCTCAACCTTATTCTTACATCAACCGCTTTTAAAAGAATGGTTTTCTTCATGAACCCCTTTACATTTTTTTCTACAATATGCAGCACACATTATAATCATTATGCAAATAATTGCACATGAATAACTTAAGAATATGAAAAAAAAAATTTGGGAGGAAAAAAAAGCAGTTTATTGGATTTATGTTTTATTATTTTTATTTTACAAACATTAGTTTTTCAGAAACAATATTGCAGATTCTAACTGTACAAAAATTCGATTTTAATTAACGCAGTAGCTATGCTTGATGTTGATAAATTCTTTTGATATTTGGCATAAAACATTGTAACGTAATTCTTAAATCAAAATAAAAATTCAAAAATATTCTTTTTTTTTTTTTTTTTCCATAGTAAATTATTGACTTGACAAAAGCCCAATTCCACTGTATAAGAAAAGGGGAAAATCAATAACATTGGTTTGGTAAAAACTTTTATTTTGGAATATTCCTCTCAGATGACTTTTAAGTTCCATAACTTAGCTATCCATGTGTTTTGAATAAGATATGCTTCAACAGCAAGATCAAATAAAATACAGTTCAGGGATTCTATGAGCCATGCTGCCAAATTCAAATTTCCAGCCTCTTGGAAGTGAACATTAAAAACTTTCTAAATTTTGCAAATGGCTTATATACAGTAACCAACACAAATACCAAAGAAAGTTGTGCATTCTTTGTATTTTTTTAGGAGTTGTATTCTGGCATTTTCCTTGTGTTGTACGTATTACATAAAAATGTTTTTAAAATATATTAAATATTTATGCACTTTTTCTTGTATTTTATATGATTTCTTCCTTACCATATGAGCTATTTTATATCATAAAATAATTATCGATTTTGTTGATTACGCTGGTGCATATCCAGTTATTGACTCCTTGATCGTCATTGAGTTCTTTTAAAATTGCATCGACTCCCAGGAGGGTTGATAGCGACCCTATTGGGAACTCTGATCTGGATCTTCAACTTCAGTAGCCCAATATTTATTTTATTTTTTTTTTTTTAAATTGAAGAGATAGGTACGGAAGATTGCAGTATCTAGGTTAAAATAGGACGAGAAGCAGCAAATAAAAAGCCTTAACTTTTCATATAGCATCAGCTGATTTTTTTCAATTCAGTGTGAAAATGTTAGAAAATAATGGAATAACTTTAGATTGATGAAATCAATGACATCTTGTTTTTATTCTGTTTTAACTAAAATAATTACTTCTCATCATCAAAATATATTGTTCTTGTGTTTTCTTCGAAATAAAAGTATGGAATGATACTGTATAATCACCCATATCCAGTGGCTATTAATAGCAACCAGTGGATACAATTTTTGTTCTTTTGGATATTATATTTCTCAAACATTTATTTGGACTTTCTAAAAATTGTATGTAATTCAAATTACTTTTCTTATACCAAATCTTGATTATCATAATTTGAGATAAGATTTTTTTTCAACAATTAACATACGAAAGACTGAGCAAAATTTCTTTTATCAAAATACAGTCAAAAGTCTTTAATCCGGATGTCCATAATCCGGAATGATCTATAATCCGGACCTCAAAGCTACAAACTTTCTGCGCATACATCCTTTTACGCATGCGCATAATACATTTGACACATGCGTGTTTAACGTATAATGGACGGTATAAGATAAACTAAATGACCTAATTATCTACTTCAGTTAATGTTGCAGATTGCGTTGTTCCTTAATCTTTGAATTGGATCCGGCTTATTATATTTTTTGCAGACTGTTACAGCAATTTTATAAAAGTAAGCTTGAACTTTCGAGTATGTCAAAAAGAATTTCCGATTCTGCAGATGCCAAAGGATCTGCAAAGCGAAAGCATGTTTCGATATACATCAAACAAAAAGTGGAATTGCTGCAAAAAAAGGATAAAGGCATATCCTTTGTTTCTCTAAACATTCCGAAATCTGCTTATCAATTTCATGCTGCTCTGGGGGGGGCAACGTCGCGCCGCGCAAGGAACTGGAAGTTGATCTGTCAGCACTATCCTTATCTTCAGAGCAGATGTTTTTATTTTATTCTGTCTTACTAATTCCTTACTAAATGCAGTGTATTTCATCTCGATGTACTCCGATATGATTTAAATCAAATTTCCTCATTCATTATAAATATCACGAACACGACACATAAAATAGTTTTTTGGTTGCAATTTTCTAATTTCGACTATAAGTAATGTATGCTTTACGCATGCGCGCGTTGAAAGAAATGTTTAATAAAGTAAACAAATAAATATTAAGCTTTTTTTTTTTTTTTTTTTTTTTTTTTTTGTAAATTTTTGATACCCTTTAGATCATAATTGCTCTTTATTTCATAAATTATGGTTTCATATTCTTAATTTTATAATTTCTGCATGCCATCGTACCAGATTTAAACTGATGATCTATAATCCAGAATTGCCGAAGTCCCGACAAGTCCGGATTAAAGACTTTTGACTGTACTAACTTTTTGTCATTGCCTTTAATCACAATAATATGTAGTTTTTTTGCCATCCATCACAATTATGAACAAAAAATAAAATTAAACTATTTAATAAAAATTTTCACCTCGAAATAAAGTATTATATCTTTTACCATTAAAAAGGATCCAATAATGAAGTTAAGTAGAAATGGGGAAGGGTAGATGTTTCATATTGTTTGGCCATTCAATCTGGATATAAATATTTAACCCTTAGCGCTCCGCTACGAAGCCGTCCGTCATTTGTTCCATAACTCTGTAGGCTCCGCTGCGGATCCCAATGTTTTTAGTTTTTAGTATGATTAGGCTCAAGATGTTATGGAATCGTTGCAATTCTTATCTGTAGTTAAAATGTGCTCAGTCTCGCTTCTGTTACGATTGAAACATTATTTGACCCATTTTATGATTAGCAACATGGAGCAAAATAATTATTGTGATGAGAATATGGAGTTGAGTGATAGTGAAGATGTGTTTGATTTTTCATTGTTAGAAGATATTGTGTCAGACAATGTTGATTATAATTCTGACACTTCAAGTAGTGGTTCCGAAATTATACTACCAAAGAGACGATGAATGGTAGTTATTGAAAGTGAAAGCGAAGAGTCGCCAGAAGACTTAGATGAATGGCGCGATGTCACGGAAAAATTAGATATTCCGGATAGAATACATTTTTAGTGTATCGCCAAAGGTGAATAAGAAGGTGCATATGTATAAAATAAATAAAATCAAAAACATCCACAAGCACGTACATTTCTTCTCACTTAAATTAAGACTCCTTCTTCACACTCGTTCCGCTGCGAAAATGTGCCGGAGTTGCTGGTAGGCAGTGATATAAAAACGTGCGAAGCGCTAAGGGTTAAACCCATTTCTAATGCTGTGTGTATTTCAATACTATTTCTGTTCGCAATTTTTTCACTTTAGCATTTCTAACTTCTAATGTATATATATATATATACACACAAGACACATTATTAAAAACAAGACAAAATTATATATTTTCCTTTTTTATTTTTAAATATTTTAGGATTCAGTGGTATCAAAATAAATGAGAAATCTAGAAAAAATATCTCTCTCACAAGGTGAAAGCTACATGAATAGCTCCCTATTTTCTATTAAAAAACAACAGTGTACAAAATATAGCATATTTAATTAAATTCCTAGCTCAAATGCAGGACTAACACCATCTACATTACTAAAATTTGTTTTTCTGATATATATGGTTCCATCGATTTAGCAACAGCTTCTTTAAAATTCTGAAATTTTATCATTCGATTTACAGGAGGTTTTAATCCTCCTCCTTTAATTATAGAAGTGATCTCATTTAGCATTTCTGTTCTCTCTTCTGCCGAGTGCACTTTATTCCATTGTGTCATCCAGAAACCTCGAAGTCTGATATCATTGAAAATTAAGCAAGCTGTACTAATTGTTATGGGTTGTTTAGACATTCCTCCATATGTAACTATAGTACCTTTATCAGTCATATGCCGTATTAGTTCTGCAGCACTCTTACCACCAACACAATTAAAACCAAGTTTAGGTCTTGGAATATTTTTCAGTATGTCGATCATTGTTGGAGTCCTGAAATGACATAATTATAATTAACAAAATTATATTTATATTACTCATTCTTTAGCACTTACAGCTTGATGTAGAAGTTCTGCAACATCTCATGAAAGAATGCATTTTGTGCATCTATCCACATTTTCAAAATTAAGTGTTAACATTAATAAATAATATCGGGTTTAACGAAAGTTTCTTCCACCACAAATATCGACTGCACAAACAGTTCACGTTGGCATGTTTAATCATATTTTGTCAAACAATCTTTGACATTTGAAAGAGATTTGCTTTAGAATGTGTTTTTGTAAAAAAAAAAAAAAAAAAATATACCATTAAATGCAAGGTGTCTGAGGTGGAACTATTATCAAGCTACCAGATAAGAATCATTATTTACTTCCAGTTCTGTTGCAAAAAGTCAGTTACAGAATGTCACTAAATCATGCGTACAGTTCTAGGTATTAATGTTGTATCATATGACACTGTGAAGGTTTGGTATGAAAAATTCAAAAACAAGGATTATGACATTCAAGAAGCAGAGTGCTCTGGCCAGCCTACTGATGCTGATGAGGCTTGCCCGCGAGAACTTGCGAAAAATGATCAGTATGCAACCATTCAAAAGCTTGAGCTTTCTAAGGCGTTAGACAACAGTGCCATGTCCATTAGTCGCACTATGCATCACATAAACTTAACATAGAAGTTCAATTGCTGGGTGGGAGCTGATTTAAGCAGATAAGGACAGACATGTTCGGGCTTGCACTAATCTGCTGAATATCAATGTAAGGACAAAATTCTGGACTCGATCATCACTTGTGATGAAAAGTGGATATACTTTAACAACACAGGCCAAAAAGGTGGTTGGTCTGCACCCAGTGAACCCATCAGCAGTGTCACAAACAGAAAGATCATACATTGTATGTGGTGGGATTGGCATGGTATTATCCATTAAGAGTATCTAGATCTAGTACCCTCTATAATAAGGTGTACAGCGAGATGATACTCTCTGTTGCTGCTATGAATGAAAAACGTCGAACTGAGTTCCGGCACAAAAAGGTAATGCTCCCTAAGACAACGGAAGACCACGTGTGTCTGCATCCACTGACTGGACTCTGTACAGACTTGAATGGGATCTTTTGCCACATCCACCCCTCCCATATAGCCCAATACTGCTATTTCGGACTTCTACCTTTTTTCACACCTGCAGCTACATCTTGCTGGTGTTATCTTAAATTCTGCACAGGATGTCCGAAATGAGATTGATCTGTTTTTAGACTCATGACCACCAAGTTTCTGGGCTTAGAAAATCTACAAAAATGTTGGCAGAAAATCATAGATTTGGGTGGTGATTATTATCTACACTAAAGGTACTGCTTTTATGGTTTTTTTTTTTTTTTTTTTTTAACTTTATTAACCGCTTCCATTACAAATTTTTTTGAAAAAAATTGCAAAAAATCATCACTTTTTTAATTTTATTATTAAATACAACAAAACGAAACAAATCAAAATATGTAGGTTTTAAGTTGAATTTTTAATTTTTTGAAGGTGTAAAGCATTTATTTTTAATATTAGTTTACTATCCCAAGTTATCTCGGGCAAACGAAAATAGTTAAATATTAATCTTTGTATGATTGTTTTTGAAATAAGGGACAACACAGAGTGATACCTGACGTTCTACACTGGTATCTGGTCTCTTTTCTTACTGGCTTACCGCTGGAATCTCTTTCACAGGAGCACAGAGTACACTGTCTCGTTGGATTTGATTTTTTCCACCCCACCTTTTCATAATCACTATCTGAAAAATCATCGCTTTCGCTATCTTGCATCATCGACATTATTTTATTTTTTTCCCAATGCATGCATCCTTCTTTATACATTACTAATCCACAAGCCAACGTATACTATACAATAGTCCCTCCAAAAGAACCGCGCAACCAACAAAATTTTTCAAACTGCCAATCAAAGCTGAATATTTCCTTTCATTTCCTCCAGACCGAGTAAAACCGTGATAAAAGAAATCGTACTAACAAATTCTGCTTCACCCGAGTTTTCTCGGGATAATAATTAACTGCAATATATACGAACCCGATATAACTCGGGATAATCAGGTAAGTGGTTAAGAATGGTGGAATATTTTGGTGGAAAACTTTCATTACAACCAGATACATTCAGTTTAAAAATAATTTTATAGATAATTAAAAAACAGATTTAAAATAACAATATTATTGTAAATGTTATGCATGAGAAACTGAGAGCTAATATAAACACTTTTTATAATTCTTTTAAACTATAAATAATTTTTTTAATTCAAAAGAAGAAAATAATGTAAAATTACAAAATATTAGATATTTTTACATTAATCCATGGATTTTAAACACATTTTAAGTAAGATAGATTATTAAAATTTTATTGAAAAGCCTTATTTTCAAATACTAATGCAGATCACTTGGGTTGTCTTCACTGGAATTAAATAAGACCAGGATAAAATTAAAACTTCAGTTAATTCTTAATGCTTTTATTGTATTTTTTAAACTGACCACTTGTTTTAACATCATCTAAATAGTTTTAATTGGGCAATTTTTGAACTGAATTAGTGTAAACATCTGTCCCCTGAATTGATGGCAATACATTATGGTCCCGAAAGGTATGTTTTGAAACATGCCAATAGTTAAAGGAAGCTTTCTTTCTTTTAATCGCATTGTGGTTTAAATCTTTCATTATGGTGGCATTAAATAAAGGTGGCTTTATTGTGTAAGAAAAAGCACATGACTGCATATAACTTCATGCCATTGGTCCACAGTCTGTCCTACCTGATCATTTATATACCCACTTTAGTCACTTAAGCCTCAGTTTTTAATGAAAGGTTTCTTCACAAGCATATGAACTTTTAACCCATAGCTGCCAACCTTGAAATATGAAGAATGGAGATTCTCCCACAAAAAAACTAGGAGGATTTCATGTTGCGGGGTGAAAGTATTTCAAATTAGCTCCAAACTAACTTAAACTTGCTTTATAATGCATGGTTCGTGTTGTTTAAAAATACAATAATATTTAATTCAATATTCTAACATTCTTTGGCTAAATTCATTTTGTAATTTTTTGACATTGTTAAAGCTGAGAAAATCCTGAGTACGGAAAGTTTGAATTTATCAAAGTACTTTTAAGTTTTCAGTATTCTTCTGAAGTTGTGTACACTCAAGAAAATTCAGTACCAATAAAATGTAATAAAAGTTATGCAGAATGAGGATAGAAATCTGCCCAGATTAAGTTCCATTAATTCAGTAAACTGAATTTATTACTAAAAACACTTTCATTAGCAAAGGTTATAAAGTTAAAAACCAAGAAAATAGGAAATGCTGAGATTCTCACGCTTAAACCGGGAGACTTGGCAACTATGCTTAAACTATTTCCATCTAACTTCTGATTTAGAATTCAACTGGACACATTAACTCAGCAGCTTATCTGCTACTCATCCCTCGATTTTTCACAAGTATAAAAACAATCTCTTAAACACACAAATAAGACTTTAGTCATTTTTTTATCATACTTTTCCTTGGCCTACCTTTTCTATGCTAATTTTCCAAGTTCCTGGTTAAATTGAAGTTAATAATGTGTTTACTAACAGTTGAATAATGACAGCCAGATTTCATACCAATTTGACAATGATAATACTTCATTATGAAAAACAATAATTTTAGCATGCATAATTACTTTATTTACATATGATATTCTTTAAATTAACATAAAAGAAATTTAAAACTGTAGCACATAATTATTAATGACCAAAACTTTAAAGCAAGCAAATAATCATTTTTCTTATAGGCATAGTTTGGACATCAGCAGTTTTAATTTTTTAAATGTTATTTGTGCTTATTATAAGTATTCTTAATAGTAAAATATGTTGAATTCTATATAAAATTATCTTTAAAATGATGTACAATTTATTAAATTTGAGATCTAAGTTAATTCTGAAAATGCTTGCTGTTCGAATGTGCTCGTAACATATGTTTTCAAATACTGTAGAAGAACTTTCGTACTAAGCTGTATAACAAACAATAAAACTTTAAAATTAATACTTTCAATACAAATGGTGTATACGTAAAAAATATTGAATTCAATCATTATACACTCTTGCAAATTAAATGAATAAAATATTGTAAAAGAAGTGTCCATTTTCGGTAAAATTAAGCATGTGTAAATCACATTCAGAGAAAATAAAATAATTACAATTCAATTTAATGGCTACCAGGTGAATCTTAAATACTACAATTAGTAATTAGTGAAACCTCCTCTATTATGCGGCTATACAGTGAAGTAACAAATGATATGAATTCCTGATGTCATTCTTTAATGCAAGATGTTCTTCAGTTGTTCCCCAACTATATTCTGTGGTGAATATGCCTGATGGCTTAGGATGTCCCATATTAGTTCAACTAGCGAAGGACAAGTTGAAACAGCATACAGATATGTAAGCTGTATAAGGTCAATCATCAGTTTGCTGGAAAATGACCCCAGTGTGACCCTATCGTGAAAGATAACACTGTTGGTTGCAATATGTTATCAATACTTTATGACACTGCATTAAACCACCAAACCTGTTAAACTACCCTCGACTACATACCCACAAAAACACTTCCTAGATTACCATTTTCACTTGGTAAATTGATTTGAACTTAAAATAGAAATCCATTATCGCTCACATTGACCAAACAGACATTTCTTTCCAATTCTGTGCACTACTGCCCACACATCCATTTTGTACATCATCAAAACATATTTTAGTATTTTTTTTTTTAATTTGTTCTGTAGTTATGGAAGATAGCTGAAATGTGGTGGCTATTAAGTCAATTATGTTGATCTCAACATTGCCGATTCTAAAAGATAGATATTACCATATTAAAAATCTTCTGTGTCCTTCAAAAGCAGAACTTTTCTGCGATTGGCTAACCTAAGCAAAAATCCACACAAGACAGTAAAAATGTTCGGTGGAATTGTAAAATATTATGGCTATGTACACAAAATAGATTAATAAATGCTAAAAACTTTTTACTGAAACTAGTGCTAGAAAAAATATATTTCTTTCAAAAGTTCCGGCTAATCTTTGGAATATGGTAACAGGTAATTTGGCAACATTTTGGTAAGGCGATAATGGTTACTAGCTAGGACTTTAGCAGTGTACATGGATAAAGTCAAGAATGTGCGCAATGCCATTTTTGTGTAATTCTGGAATTTTTTTAAAAGTGAAAATAGGTCGATGTGTACATGGATACCGTGGTATGTGTAATTCTTAAAAATGCAGCAAGCAGTTTGCAATTCTGCACCTTCTCCCAATTCTGCACCTAATCTTCGTCATGATTAAGCACTTTTGTTCCATGAAAGTTCTAGCATAAGCGTAATTCGGCTAGCAGATTGTTGGAAAAAAATTTTTGAGTAAAAAAAAAAACATGCCTTTACTTCGTGAAAACAAAATGGCGTCCAAACAAAAACTAGCAGGTTGCTGTAGCAGGGTTGGTCACCAAAAAATCGTTAAGTTACGATAATCCAAAGATTAACCAAAGTTTCTTATTGCATGATAAATGGCTAGATTCAATAAGGCCATTAGAATTGTATGCATAACCATTAAAAGCAAACTGCTGTCTGAAAAAATACTACCCTATACCAGGACTACTGACTGGCCTGACTTCCTTGATATGATGCAATGATTATCTGCCTTAAAACTGAAGTAAAATTCAAAACACAAAGAACTGCCAGTCAGTAGCAACCTTGAAGCTCAGATGTGGCACTGTTTCAAGTGATGTTGGGATGATAAAGACAAGAATTCATGATTAAAGTGTAACTCTAAATAAGCCAACTGTCAGAAAACAATTAGAGGTGGTACAAAAAAGCTACAATATATTGTATCTTCGGCAGTAATGATCTTGCTTGTCTCACAATCAGCCATTTTTGTCTTGCATTTGTATGCCTTAGCTTATCAGAACCTTCATTTTATCAATGCATACTTTTCAATGCAACCATTGTTGGCAGTACCTCTGTATTTCTGTAGCCATGTCTACACAAACCAGATAGTAGCCTATTGTTCAACATAACTAGACAGCTTCACGCAACCCGATAAACCAACTGTGAGGCACTGCCGCCCTTTATGAAGAACAAGGTGCCTATGCCAGCGAAATGAAAAGAAAATGATTACGATTATTATATTGTAATTCAAAATAGATCACACGCTGAATAGTTTAGATTAAAGCGAACAGTTTTGTAAGTTACATGAATGATATAGTTGTACTGGATTACACTGAATAAAAACATTTATAATCAAATAGTTTATTTGATTTTTGACGCCGAATAATAAAAGAACCTACAATCATTGCTCATGACACCAACTTTACATAAGTGGGTGTATCATAATGGCTTCATTAATAGCCTGTCAAGGCAATTCTAAGATGACACTCGACCATACAACTATTAATCGTTTCATAGGATGCCAGTAGTGCAGAACATACGAATGCTATGATCAAATTTCACTGGTCACAAAACTTAATAATGATTTGCATATTTGGAAAAGCCAGATTCTGATTTAATCAGATTTCTTTCAAAGATTGGATTTAAGGTAAAAAATTTCGCATTATAGTAGATTCTAACAATCTGTATGCCTCATTTATGGATTATTTCTGAGTTTTATTTATATATTTCTCTTCCTAATTACTACCTTAAATTTAGATTATTTGCATATAAATAACTAATTAAAATTAAAATACATTCATACCTTGAGAATTATTTAATCAAGATACAAAGAAAAACATTAGTAAAACATAGTGAAATGTCTCCCAAATGGTTTCATTAAAAAAAATCTTAAACTTTTAAGAACTGATCAGACATTTTTTTAAAGTTGTTTAATGTTTTTGAGATTAAAAACTGGCACTCATTAAAAAAGTTACATGATTTGCACATATATCTCTAACATATACTATACATACATTATGTTAATTCATAAATGCCATTAACACTATAAATTTTAAGAAATAATATTTTTTGGGTAAAAGGTTCTGTCTCTTCCATGGAAAGTAACAGCTATAAAACTTTAGATAATCAGCATAATTTGATTTCTAATTAATTTCAATTTCAATCTTAAATACACTCAAGTAAAAATATCATCATTGCCTTTGCTTACACAAAAATATATATGAAAAATCTCCATGCAGTATATAAAACATACAATTTAATGTAATGTTATTTTTATATAACAGAAATATCTATATGATCCGTTTACAAGAAATGTTACGCAAAAAGATTTAGAATCATACATTTGAAAATTAATAAAAATTTAATATTTAACAGTAAATTTCCCAACAAAGCATGCCAGGAAAAAAGTAGTACTGAAATTATAGTTCATAGTTCTGGACACAAACTCTTAAAAAGTAAAAGATCTAATTTAGTTTGATAAATGATTAGCAATGGACTTCTATTTCCACCCCAATTTTGAGGGGGAGCACACCGGCGGATGGTCCGAAGGTCTTCCCTACCACCAAGCTACACAAGAGGACTTTTGACTTGCCATATATTTAGAGAGCCCCCGTCCTGCAAAGATACTATACATTTACAAACATCCATGCCTTCTCCGGGATTCGAATGCGGGCCCTTTGATACCACAGTAGACTCCCCTAACCACTATACCATTTGGGCGGCTAACTACTAGTACATATTTTAATCAGCTATACTGCAGACTTTTTCAAAACAAGTAATAAAAGTTTAAAAATTAATAATGGTCACAAGGATATGCAAATAAAATATACATGGAAATAATTATTTATAGGCTACCAAAGTTAACTTCTGAAAAGTTGGAAGATGCACGGTGAACTTTATTCACATCTGAACACACAATTTGAGAATAATTTTTAGAATATATATTATGAATGATAGGGAGGGAAAGAAATTAAAACTTTTACCTTAATTCATTTTCTGTCACAACATAAGAAGCACCTAATGATGTCAAATAAGATTTCAAGGATTCTAAATTAGGACGATCTCTAATAACATTAATGGTGTTTATTTTTAAATATTTGGCAATTTGTATAACAGCCTGTCCTACACTGCTATTGGCCCCATTTTGTATAATACTATCACCTTGCTTTAAATTTTCAAAGTCCTTTATCATTCTGTAAGCTGTACATGGGTTTACAGCAATGGTAGCAGCACTAACCAAAGGAAGAGTCTCATCAACCTAAAACAAAACAAACACAAAAAAAAAAAAGCTTTCACATTATAATATAGAATAAATATTCAATAAATGTAGACTTTTTTGCATATACTTAAGATTGTTTTGTTTTTATGCTATATTTTCAAAATCCTAAGCAATTTAGAAAAAATACAAGAAAAATTCATGTTATTTGATTTCACTAAGGAATTATTATATGAAAAGAAAACACACTCATGTAAAGAATATCTGTCACAAATACAGTGGATGGACAAAAATATGGAAACACCTTGTGAAATGCATGTTTGAAAAGAAAGATTGATTTTAATGAAATATGTAGGTGGCGCTGGCATTTTTGACTACTGACGCCACCTATACAACTTCGTAAATGTGCTAAACGTTCAGTTGTTGTCGGAGTACTGCTATGTGAGGTTGTCATTGCATTATGTCAGAGTAACAGATTCGAACGTGGCACATTGTTGGAGCACGTAGGTAGGTGCGCTTCCGTAAGCAAGGTAGCCGATGTGTAGTGTTTCCAAGAGGTACGTATCGAGATTATTCCGCATATTTGAAAAGAGGAAAAACATCATCTGCTAAATCACAGGCGGACAAAGTGTGTCCTGAGTGATCGTGACAGATGATCATTAAGGGCAATTGTGAAAAAAATAAGAAACACAGCTGCAAAAGTTACTGCTGAAATGAATTTGTGTTACCGAACCGTGAGTACCAAAACAATTAGAAGGAAGCTTCATAAACAGGGAATTGCTGCCGTGCTGCAATTGAGAACCACTATCATGTAATGCCCGTAACAGGGAAAAGGTGGTGTTAAGTCATAAAGCCTGGACTATAGAGCGTGGAAGCGAGTATATGGTCTGAGAGTCTTCTTTCACATTGTTCCCACTTCTGGCCGAGTTTAGTCTGGGGAACGCCTTTCAAGCCTATAATACAGACTGTTGTTGCAAGAGTCAAACATGGCGGGGGTTTTCTGTTAGGTTTGGGCAGCCATATCGTGGTTCTCTGCTAGCCCATGATAACGTGTCAGGGCACATGACTGCAAGACTTATGTGAACTTTGGCCGATCAAGTTCATCCCATGGTAAACTTTGTTCCCCAATGGTGATGGTGTCTTTAAGATGACAAAGCCCCTGTTCACACAGCTCACATTGTCCAGACTGGTTTTCTGAGCACGAGGATGAGTTGTCCCATCCCCCTGGCCACCACAGTCACCAGACCTGAATATTATCGAACCTTTGTGGTCTACATTGGAACGGAAAGTGCGTTCTCCATATCCACCGCCAACATTGTTATCTGACTTGCCACCATTTTGCAGGAGAATGGTATAATATTCCCTTGGCAAACATACAGGAACTGTATTTATCATTCCGAGAAGATGCAAGCTGTTTTGGATGCCAACAGGTTTCCTACACCATATTAAGGAAAGAAACATGTTTTTTTAAAGGTGTTTCCATATTTTTGTCCAACCCCTGTACAATACATTTGAAATTTAAATATGAAAATAAAATTTTCAACACTCTAGTTAAAAATATATGCAGAAAAGTCAGGTAATAAATATGAAATTTACAGTAACTGAATCTAATTGTTAAGGAAGTATTAGTGTACCCCCTGCAAAACAAAGTATGGAGTGGTACAATGTAGAATAATACAATTTTTGCTGCAGTGCAAATGGAGATGAAAAATCTTCCAACTATTCGATATAACATCACACTTTTAAAGAAGAAGCTCGTACTTTATCTTAAAAAAATTAGAAATTGATCTCTGTCATATTCCAATCATATTATTTGCCAGATTTCACACACTCTATGCTGTTCTTTTGTATCAAAATTATTCTGCAGTAGTCAACATTTTCAGATAATTCAAGCTGTTCAAAACAACATGACAGCCGTTCTATCACACAAAACATACAGAATATTCGTTCTAGAAATGCTGAAAGGAGTGTGTGCTTACCAATAGGTGTTGCTTCAAAAGTTAAATACAAGCATCTTCTTTAAAACAGGATATTATGGTTGTTTATTATTAATAATGCACCATATAGCAGAAATCACACCATTTTTATTTTCATTCCAGTTAGATGTATAGTAAATAAAATTTTATGAATGCAATTTTTCATTAGCCATCTAATAACACCAATAAAAAATCAGAAAGTAGTCTTTGAAATTTTAATTTAATTTAATTATTTTTTTTTTTTTTTTTTTTTTTTTGTTTGTTTTGTTTTTATCTTGAACTTCTATATTTATGTTAACTCAAAACTGTAGCAGATATATTCTGTTTTATTCATACCTGAAAAAAAATTCTTAAACATATTTATTCGGGTGCATAGAAATAATGTAGAGTTACTCAGTTGACAGTTTGACAGTACACTGAGAGCCTAAAACACAGTCTTAAAAATTCCAAACAGCTTAATTAAAAATCCTAGTACTGAAGTTTTTGACCATTTTTGCACTAAGTTCTCCAATGAATATGAACTATGAGCAGATTGACAATATATTCCATTAATGAGGAACATTATTATGCTTGTATTTACATTAAACAAAGGGTAAATCATAAAAACTCTCATGCAATCAGCTCATTCACCAGGATTTCAACTTGGATCAAACTACCAGTATGAAGAAATGACAAAGATTCAATTTATAAATGAATGAGTAAATAGTGCATCAAATTAGAATTATATTTACATTTTATAAATATCTTAATTAATTATATAGATAAACAAAACTACACCATTTTTTCTGGCTCACAAAGGTTAAATCATGCTTCTAACAGAACTTTCCAGCCTGAATTCAAACATGTTAATAATTTTTCTCCAACATACATGCTTTCCTTGTAATATCCATTTTTTTAAGTGTTAAAGTAATGTGTATATTCACATACATATATGACTATTCAAGCCTAAAATGTTATAATGATTGATTCCCTTTTGTGGCTGACAACTAAAACATGCTTCTTTAGTATCCAATGGTAATCAGTGAGCATTTTATTGCTCACTGTCATGGCATAACTATCATGTTGGAAAAGCTGATGTACATGATATATGATACTAAGATTGTCAAAGAAATCTAGAAGGAATTCCATGTAATGTGTCTCTTAAGATATAAATCTTAAGAGACACATTACATCCCATATTTCTGTATGATTGTAACAACTCATCCACTTTTTCATTCAGTTTGGAGATTTATGATTTTCTAAAAGATTTTGTGCAATATATTTCAATGACTTCCACTCTGATTTTTCAGCTTGGTTTAACTAATCTTTAAGTTTTCCATTTCCAAATTAAAGCTCTTCTGGGAGCATCCCAAAATACCTTCCTTGATTTTAGCATCATTATGCAAAAGGAGTTTTCTCTAGAGAAAAGAAAACAAAGAAACATTTTCAACCAATTTTTTTACAAAGTTTTGAAAAAGGTCCTAAGTTCATCTGATGTCAAGGTTTATGGTAAAAGATATATAGCAATTTTTGTCCACAGGTAAGTGATTAATGCTTTGGCTACTTATTCTTGGTATATCTCCTCCTTCCTGCTGTTCTATTTGGAGAAGAGACAACAAAATTTTAAACTGTCAAGCTACATATCCATTAATAATGCAATGACTTTTAAATTGTAATACATATGTTAACAATACTTGCCGCAGTAAATTTTTCTAAATACAGTTTTCATGTATTTCTTTCAAATTAAATGGATCAATTAAGAACAGAAGAAAATATATTTCAATTGTATATACACAACCTTCAAACTAAATTTTGAAGACTCAATGCATAGCTTCCACCCTCTTGTTTTATATTCATGATCAAACAAATACTGTATATTACAATGTATAATGCACACTATTAATAAAGAAATTAAGATTGTAATTTAAGGGTGTATGTTATAAGTCAGATATAAAACTGAAATATTTAAAAATAAAGGAAAGATAAGCATTTAAAAAAAATTAGATTCATACATGTACATAAATGCTAATTATTTAAAAGAAATGGCATACCATTATGAACATAAAAATTTTTGTTAATGGATAAGTTGAAATGTTCATCATATTTATCTTTCATTATATTTTCAGGCACATCATCAAATTCTGCTTTATCTTCACCATCACTGTTACCCTGATTCATAAATAAATAATTATCTTCTGCTCCATTTAAATTGTTAGATATGCTATATTTTTAATGACTTTTGAATTATGTCAGGTGTAATTTCATTCCATGCTTTTATTATCCACTCATACATTATTTCTAGACTAGCATGATGCATTTGGCCTCCTTTTGAAAATATGTTTTTACCTTCTAACATTCACACATTTTACTATCATTTTAAATTTCCTTTGAATGTATTGACCTACACATCTAAAGGTTGAACTAATGGCATTAATTCGCCTGGAATAATTGCCATGTTTGTGTTACATTCTTTCATCAATTTTTCATATTATCCATTAGGTGAGATCTGAAGATTTTTCTGGTTTCTTCTTCAACAGGATGCTTTTGCCAAACATTTCTTTTCTACAGTTTTACACCCTTTTCATCCATCCATCCTTTTTTGTTAAACACAAATGAAAACATCATTTAGCAAATTACACTTCAGCATCCTCTTTCTTTTAAAAATAATCAAGGTTTAAATTTTGTACCATCCACTAACTAGGAAATCACTACAGTGAGGTGAGATTTTTTATGACCAGCTGTTTTTATGTGAACCTTTTTTTTTATTATATCAAACACTACTTTAGTTTCATTCCTATTTGCAATATGCAGCAGTAAATAATATTCCCCCCCTCGTTGATATGCATTCAGTAGTTATGTTATTGAACATACTACTGAAAACTTATCAGTTTGTTGTACAAATCTTTCAGAAGCATTTGTTAAATTTTTGTTTCTTCTCACAGAACTAAATTGCTAATTGCTTTAAAGTTCCTATTTTCATTTGCATTCTTCTTTGCCCATTTTAAAACAAATAAATGTATGCTGTCTCTTGTTACAATTAATACATTCTGGTGATTTTATAGAATCCAGTTTGCAAACACTCTTCTA